TCTGGCATATATTTGGGGGAGACAACTTGGGAGAAATCCTTCTGTTTCCCATAACAAAGGGTCAAACAAGCCCAACTCCACATCAGGCCAAGGACAAGTCCTATGAAGCAGGCATCAGGCACCTCCACCGTACAACCTTATTACCAGTTCTAACATCAGCTGTCTGTCCAAGGATACCAATTTTCATAAAGAAATCACTGACGATAAGGATGCTATGGCAAAGTGTGGTGAAGAAAGCAGCTGGTGCCGGGCTATCACTTGGAATCGTCTCAGAGTTCTTAGTGTCAGAGTCAGTGTTCTGAGTGCTTTGTATCGAAACAAGCAGCCATCTGAGTGAGGCATCAACAAAGTCCACATCAAAGAAGCACACCAGCCTGTGTCAAGAACAAAATCCAACTATGATGCAGGGAAAAGTACCAGAGCTTAAATTGTGAGCATCCAATTTGTAGAAGGCTATGGAGGGCAGTGGGAACCCAAAATCCATCTGCAGAATACCTAGTTGGATTAAGCCTCTGGCAGATCCCCTCTGGAAAATATTAGAGGGACGCCACCAGCTTTGCTATCAGACAGAGATTATGGTAAACTTAATTATGGTGAATGGAACTGTTAGATCTCTCTGGAACTAGATATACTGTATACCTCGGTCCTTGGCTCCATGTGAGAAAGAATTCATGCCAAAGCCTGGTTTGTGATCCAAGTGAGTTTTATGAGAGTTAGAAGAAGTTTCAGGTTTAAAGGGCACCCGAGGGGCTCCTCCCGAACACGTGGCCTGGCTAGAAGTGGCTCGCCATCAAAGTGGCTCGTCATCACGCAAAAGTGTGTTCACAAGGTTCTCCGCCAAAGTTCTCTCTCCCTACTCTGGGCTTCTCAAGGACTCCACGGGGAGGCGTGGTGGATGACCCCTGATGGGCCCCATGGGCTGAATTGAATTCACCTGGCCTAGGTGGGCCAATTCAGGCTCACGCCCACGGGAGGGAACTCTGAGCCTCTGGGCATGTGCAGTGTGCCACTCCTTTGTTCCCGTAGCTTGGCCCTCTGGGCATGCGTTAACGGACATTCCCAGCCCTTTGCTAACCTACCTAACAGAACTACACTATAATATGAAACCTAAGGGAGGCGGGAGCAGGGAGGGAGGGGGAAAAATGAGGACCTGATGC